TTGATATTTCTATTTATCCTTATGATTTGTATTAAAATACACCACATATCCTTAGAACTATGTACAAATTCAACTCTAACCGTTTTTCGGGTAAATAAGTATATACACCTATATTCGAACATACTTTCGTGAAGAAAAAAATGTGACAAAATATAATGAAATTTGTGTATATGACAAAGTATATTCACCTCTAAGACGTTAATTCCATTGGTTTATTCACTTTAATGCAAATCCGCCCACAATCCCTTTCAGGCCTATGTCTGTCTCTCCTGTTAAGTTACTTCAGCACGGTTGGGTAATAAATACACGCTCCTCCGCTCGTTCGGGGCAATTACCCAAAATGTCACTTACTCCTAGACTCGTACATAAAAAGAGTGTGCTAGTGGGTTTTACAGATAATGGAAATTAACAAGACAAGTCTCTGCCCAAGAAAAAAGTTGCACATCTTTGGGAATTGGCTTTATCTCTACTTCGACTGCCTCAAGCTGAACTTGATCTTTCTCACTTTTTAATGCTGTGATAAAAAAACCGTCTTGTTTCTTCTGTATCTCTATACTAATGGCCAACAACAATATTTATCATCACAATGCTAGAACTTCTTTTTCTTTGACTGAACCTGACGCTGAACCTGACGATATTTCTGTTTTTCTTCGTCATATTCTCAATCATTCATCTAATTTTATGACCCATGAAACGCAATATTCCTCATCGCTACCTCATCTTCTGCCTAAAAATCAGCATGGCGAGTTATCTTCCGTATTGAATTCGTCGGCTGGCGGCATTTTCTCGTCTTCTTACGGAGCTTATAATGTCCCAGCAAATGTTTCTTCTTCATCTGTTGGGACTATGGACAACGACCCAGATGAGTATGAATGTGAAAGTGAGGTATTTCTACCCACTTCCTACTTTTTTCATTAGTTTATCAATTTAAGTTCCGAATGCCCTGGCATACGTGATAACATTGATTCTTTATGCGACAGGGTGGTACGGAGGACTTAGGGGTGGAAGGTTCAGCACAACAACCACCACCTCGTAACACTAATTCCAAGAGAAGTAGAGCAGCTGAAGTGCACAATTTGTCTGAAAAGGTTTTTTTTGGGTTAAGTTCATCTAATGTTATAGTTATTTGTGTTATTTTAACCCACAATTGCAAAAGTATAATAAATTCGTACCAAAAGTCTTAAAGATCGAATTACCCACTAAGCTTAAATCTTGAATATGACTCTGCTTACCACTGATGTTGTTGCTATATACTTGGCAGAGGAGGAGAAGCAGAATAAATGAGAAGATGAAAGCATTGCAAAATCTTATTCCAAATTCTAACAAGGTGAGGAATCGCATGTTTAGCAATTTTGAATTAGTTTTGAAACTAGAAAATTTGATTTATCAGCCTAGTTAAAGATTGATAGTGAGTCAATTATTTCTAATGGATTTTTGAACAGACTGACAAGGCGTCAATGCTTGATGAAGCTATTGAGTACCTCAAGCAGCTTCAGCTCCAAGTACAGGTCTGCTGCTTTTTATTTTAAATTTGCTGGTTCTGGCTTTTTCCCAGGGGATTTTATTTTAAATTTGCTGCATGTTTTGGTTATTTCTGTGTTTGATGATAGCTAAAAACATTAGATGGATTTGCTTTTTATTCCTGTGTTTGATGACCGTTCCTTTCCTAGTTTATGTATTCTGGTTCTAAAGTATTGAACTCTTACTGTTTTTGTTTGGGATAAAATTTCCTCTACCGGTGCACCGTTTTTTTTTGTTGTTGTTGGAAACTGAAAATCTACACAAAATCTGCGGAACAAAATTCAAAAGCCTAAAATATCTCAACTAAACTTATCTAATAGAAATTTAAATTTAAACAAAGTAGATTCCTCCTGCTACTAAATAACTTATTATTCTAGCAAATCAACAGTAACAGAAGCAATATTTAATAGTTTTGAAAATTCACTATTCTAATAGCTCAACCAGAAGTGCAGAACCTGATCAAATATCTATATTCACCTTTCATGTCATCTGAATAATGTTGGCTTTCTTTTTCTGTAATGATGAATAGGAGCTAGTGTTATACTATGTTATTCTTATCATTCAGTAGGTTGGGGACTTCTTTCTCCTATGGATAATCAGTTGTACGAACTGGGTAAGTGTGGAATGACATTGGCGTCATAAGTGACACATTGGCTTGAAAATGTTTATGTGGAATTTTTTGAATTAAAAAACTCATAATTTCCTGTTCCATACCTGGAAAGTTTGTTTTCACATTGGTAACTTATAATGGAAAGATTAGAGAGAAATGAAACTGGATACATCAATATTTGATTCAAGATGCTTTGGATTGTTATTAACGTGTTCTCTACCTCCTTTTGTCATCGAAAATTCTTTTGGCTAATCTATAACTCAGGATATCTATTGGTGCTAGATTTGGAAATTCTGTTATTAGCTAACACTAGTTTGTTTGATTAAGTTGTTATGATTTGTAGCATGATAATGTGCTTCAAATTTCAGATGTTGACAATGAGAAATGGGTTAAGCATGTATCCTATGGGCCTACCACGAGTGTTACAGCAAAATCAAGTCTCCCAGCTAAGTATGGATTTATGCGAGGGGAATGGATACACAAATGCTAAAGCGGCTGGGGCTCTCCACGTAAACCAAGACACTTCGTTAAATGCCATTTTTAGTCCATCTGAAAATCGTACAGAGACAAAGCTAACACCAGTGGCAACTATGTCAAATGTAAACCATTCAAACAATGCTTTTGAGTCAGAGTCGTCGATCAATGTTCACCTTGATCCCTTTCAGCTCTCAAGATCTACTTGTAAGGTTAGTTGAATGCGACCTAATGGAATACCGATTAAGGAATCAATATGTAACCATTTGACATTCACATTCTGTTTGTTGCATAGGGAATTTTGAGGGAGGATTGGTTACCTTTACATGAAATGAGCGAGCGACAGTCCAAAACTGTTTCAATTGGTAAGTAGTTTGCTTAACATCCTTACTTGTTTGACAGCTTTTGCCTTGCATCCTGTTCTATTTACCATCGTTTTTTCATTGTATAATAGGAGAAAATGTGGCACCCACAGTTCCCTTTGATGCATCTGGCTTGAAGAGAAATACTCTAGAAGCATGCTTTCTCCGATATCAATTTGGAGCTATGGGTGAAACCAATATGGATTGCGACCAACTTCTTGCCCCACAATTGTATAGGTAATTAGTAACAGGCACAAGTACTTTTCCACAGATTTTGAAATAGAATTTGTATTACTAATTTTCGTAGTTCTATTGTCATCCACGTTGGAAGAAGTACATCTGTTGACACTATCAAAACCGAATGCAGCAACTTCTGAAATTTTGGCTGCATCATCCTACTGGAATTTGTCGAAGAAATGACATGTATCTTGCTGCTTAGGATAATGTTTAATGTAGCTAATTTATGGGTTCAAACGTTATTCTGTGGAGCGAATCATGTCTGCATTGCTTGTACTGTTGTTTAGTGTAAAATTTGGCATATAAATGTAAAGACGAGACTATATTCTCTCTTGTTAAGACTGTTAAGACGAGTACTACTAGGCATATACTTCTTTAATACTCAGATTTGTCCGATTAATCTAAAGCTGATTTGATACGCTTCATGCACGAAGTTTAGTTAATGCATGAACTGAAAACAGCTAATCAAGAGAAACAAGAAGAATCACTGCAGTTTTATATATATACACATAAGATCAAAGGTTTTCTTTTCTTGTTGAGGAACGAGGCATGTAAGAAATACCTTTTTTTCACCTTATAAGAAATATCTTCTCAAAGAATTTGACAGAGAAGTTTATTCATAAGTTCTTGTTTGGTTCAAATATTCTCATGTAATAACGTATTGACGTCAATAAAAAAAAGTTTTAAGAACTAGAAGTCAACTGATTCAAACTTAGAACATTCTTTTCCTGTAGATTGCAGAAAAGTGGCTCACATCTCATTCTATAGGGAACGGATTGCAATGTTGGAATTGGAACGAAACTGTGGTTGATTGACTTATTAGCAGTAATAACTACAAGGTAGCAAAGGATTTAAGTTAAATGCTTGATACTATATATAATTGTTACACTATTAGCATATTTTACCTGATTATAAAAAGTTATTTACTTTATTCTCAAGATTATCGAAGTAGATTTATTAATAAGTATTTAATGCATAGAAGTTAAACTCGTTTAATTTATTCATCTTTAGTGAAATGTGCGGATATTCTCATTTTCTTGTCATTCCACTGCAATATGATTCATTGCCTTGCGTTTTGGGTGTTGTTGACAAGATAATAAGGCCCTGATTAGTCTTTTGAGAAGTTTTTTCTAGAGAAAAGTTGGTTGAAAAACAACAACAAAAAAAAGGTAAGTAAATGAATAATTTGATTTTTAGAAGCTATGTTTTGTTCCTAAAAGGGATTTTCAGAAAATGTCTAAAGACAATTTAATTCAAGTTTCTTTAATAGATTATTTGTGGACGGATAAACCCTTGTTGGCTCAATGTTGACACTAACCAAAGAACAGACAAGAGAAGAAAAGAAAGGCAAAAAAGTAGTGGTGTTGATCGACATATCCTAAGTTTGCAATTGGAAGAATAATACCCACTAGTCCTATATTTTCTTTTATGACAAATGGAAAAAATAGGACAGTTACTGGTCTACATTCTTCAAAGAAAGTAACTTCCCTTTTTGAAAAATAAATTCCAACATCGCAACAAGAGAACAAGACGCGAAAGAAAACAATGAAAATTGAAAACTCATCTATTACGTGGAAGATTCTCGCCACTAAACTATAAGAAGGCTTGATAATATAAATTTCTCTCTTTTACTTTCCTTTCCAAATATTTGCCAGCTCTTCCCACCCCAAAAAATTAAAAAAATCTATATTTTAATCATTTCCAAAAAGTAATAGCAGATAATATTATTATTTTTTTAGCTAAGAATGCAATTAGTTTGGATTAATTTTGTGTTTTATCCAAAAAATAAAATAAACTAGTTTTGTGGAATTCTCAGTCCCAAGTCTTTTGACAAAAAGCAAGAAAAAAGACTTCCTACTTTCCCAGTCCAAGTAACCCAACCCAAGAAGTGGGCGTTTTTTTGAATACTCTTAACGTGAAAGACAGGCAAAAAGCAAGAACAACCCGATCAATCTTTGGCGCTCTCCTCTTTATATATTCTTCTTTTTTCGCAATTTAGTTTGTAACGGTCTCAACAAATCCTCTCGGTTCCTCTACCCTTCTCTCTATAAAACCTCCTTGCAGTTTCTGTTTGCGAATTAACCCAATTTCAACTGCGCTAACCCTAGGATTTGTGTGGAGATTGAGGACAGTTATGGCTGAAACTATAGCTAATGGCCGGCCTGATCAGTTTGCCAATAATATTGATGGACCGACCAATCCTATGGTCACTCCTATTTTAACAGATCTCTATCAGTTTACTATGGCCTATGCTTACTGGAAAGCTGGAAAACACAATGAACGAGCCGTGTAATTATTCATTTTCTCTCTAATTCCTCTTCGTTTTCTCTCTATGTTTCGCTAAATTTATTTCTTTTATGTAATTATTTCTGGACGCTATTGTTATTGATCAACAATTTCTAACACTTTAGCCGTAGGGCAAAGCATTTTGTTTGCTGAGTTGGCGGATTACGTTGATTATTTAATTATTTGGTTAATATTTTCAGGTTCGATTTGTATTTTCGGAGGAATCCATTTGGTGGTGAATATACCATATTTGCTGGTTTAGAAGAGTGCATTAAGTTTATTGCTAATTTCAAATTTACTGAGGATGAGATAGCTTTTATCAGGTCATCATTGCCCCCGTCATGTGAGGTAAAGTTGTTATGGACAAGTAAATATGGAACCATAATGTGTGATTAAGTTAATTCGTTATGCTTGATATATATATTGATTGTCAGTGCTCGATCATAAGCATATTTAAATGGATTATGTAGGATGGCTTCTTTGAGTACCTTCGGGAACTTGACTGTTCAGATATTGAGATATATGCTGTTACTGAAGGATCAGTAGTCTTTCCCAAGGTACCGCTGATGAGGATTGAAGGACCAATTGCTGTGAGTTCCATTAACACTATCCTTTTATTCGTGCTTGTTGTTTGAAGCTTCTCAACAGGGATGTTTGTTGCATCTTCTTAGTTTTATGTTCATTTTTTATATGCTTGATGATTACTTATGTCTCAAAGGTGGTTCAACTACTGGAAACTCCATTTGTAAACCTCATAAACTATGCATCACTAGTTACAACTAACGCTGCAAGACACCGTTTCGTAGCTGGAAGGTCCAAGATACTGCTTGAATTTGGGCTTCGGAGAGCACAGGTTGTTTACCTTGTGATATTGTTAAATAGGAAGGTCTATATGACTTACAAACTGTGAACAGACTATTTGAACCTTCGTGAACAGGGTCCTGATGGTGGTATATCAGCATCAAAATATTGCTACATGGGTGGATTTGACGCGACAAGGTGATTCGTGTTTATTTCACTCTGTTTCCATGAAATATTGACATTATCTATTTATCTTATTAAATGAGATGTGGATTTCTAAATTCGTTATATTTTATTACTATAAAATTTAGAGATTCGTGAGCTAGTACCCGCAAAATATCTACTGCTATGATTCGTTTAATTTAGAATTTGAAGAACTCTTGGGTCCACTAACTTCTTTCTTTTGAAATGCAAATTCCTTTAGATTCAATTTCTTTCAACACGTAAAGAATATTCTGTAAGCTTCTTCCAAAAATGAAGCAGGACGTATTAGAAAGGATCGCTGCAATTGTAAGTCACATGTTGTTGATTCTTATTCAAGAGCAAGATTGCAAGAGTGAGAAAAGAGTGGGGTTTTGATAGCAACGGCATATGCAGGATTTTTCATAAGCGGTGTCTACATTTGAAGAATTAAACAAATGAATAAATCACTATAACAACATCATATTAAAAATATTATATGTAAACTTAACTTTGGAAGGAGCAGGCAGCAAGCCGCAAGCCGCTAGTTTAATGATAATACTTTCAAAATTTGGGTTTTAAGTTTGGTTGAATAATGCCGGACTGCAAGTTATTTCTTGTCAATAGTGATAAAGAAATTGATTGCAGCTCAGTTGGTTTAGTTACTCCTTTTTAGGTTAGAAGTCGGCAGTTCAATCCCTGGTATGTTTAACCATAACAAGGCTCAAATTTTTTGAAACAAATGCTAACATAGTGAGATTCAAACCCTTGACTTCCCTGAGAAAATTGAGGCGCTTCACCACCGAGCCAACAAAGTTTGTTGACAAGTGGTGTCATTTTCTAATATTTATAACAATATATTTTTGCATATTACATACTTATATATGTATATTCAATAAAAATCTTTTGATGAAGCGGTGTCGGATGACACTGCTTCGATCTATGTACCTTCACCCCTGCTTGATATGAGTGTTTTAACATCAATGAAGATTATTAAATTGCACATTTGCATGCCGGTACGGACGTCAGATAAACTTTTAACATTATTTCTTTTGCTTTTTTCCTATGATAGAACTAGAAAATCAATTGTTCAAGGACAAATTTGATCCTTAAGATGGATGCATCCACTTGATAAACAACTGTGGTGCATGTCTACATTTAAATGCTGCATATCAGCAACCTGACATTTACTTGATATGTTTGTCAGTTGTCATTTTATTGATACGGAAATACAGCTTCTTCATTTCCTTTTGATGTTCTATTTCTTTTATCATAAACAATTCAGGAGGATCACTGTCTTTTTGTGTTTTGACAGCAATGTGGCAGCTGGAAAGCTGTTTGGAATCCCACTCCGTGGAACACATTCCCATGCCTTTGTTAGCTCATTTCTGGTAGGTGCAACCTTCTGAACAACTTTGCCTGCCCTTGAAATAAGTGAGACCTGTACTGTCAAACTGCTCTGACAGTTTGTCTGGCCCTCTATATTCAAGATGATAATTACTTAAAGACCTGGTCTTTAATCAGAGCATAGCAAGAAACATGTCTTAAGCTAGTAAAGTGCTCCGTTCAATC